TATTTTTCTTGAGAACTTATTTAGAAATGTTAGCATACAAACATTGTGTTTGAAAAGGTTGTCTTGAGACACTTGAGGTGTACACTTGATCACCTGATAGAGGGATTATTATTTTGGATATTGTAACGTAAAACTATGACTTTGGTTATTAAGTTTTGGTATATATTTGTGTTGGATATATCCGGGTTTAAGAGGACTTTGTGGGCCTCTAATTGCCACCTCGGCTTTAGTTGGATTACATTTTTTTATAGAGACATGTTGTGAATGTTTATTTAGTTTGAATTATTTTATACTCTCATAAAGATGCTTTTACTTTAGTTGGATTACATTTTTTTATAGAGACATGTTGTGAATGTTTATTTAGTTTGAATTATTTTGTACTCTCATAAAGATGCTTTTACTAGCTGGTTGTAAGCCCGATTTTCAAATGAAACTCTACTGACATTTAAAAAAAAATTATATTTTGATAAAACCAATTGTTTTATTTCATTTAATTATTATTATAAACTAGCAAGAGATTTTGGGATAAATATTCTTTTTTATTAATCACGCTTTAATGAAAATTGGGACGTGCCATGTGAATAGTAGCAACCAATGATATCCACAAACTCACCAAATTTAATAATCTTTTCATGTGCTATCTAAGTATGAACCTGGTGAAAATACTTTTAAGGGCATCCCAACAAGTTTATGTTTAGTGGGGTCATAACGAGTACTACTGCTTATTATGGTACCGACGTCCTTTGCATCATTCTCCAAAGAAAAGAAGCTACAATGTAAAAGATATTCTTGACTCACCAAATTCATTCAAATACTAAAATGACTTATTTAATTTGATTATAATATATGTGGGTGACTAAAATATAAGTAGATTTATTATAGTAAAAATTTTAATATATAAATAGATAGATTTATTATGTTAAAAAGTTAAAGCATTAATCATAAGATACGCTTCATATTGAAACCTTATAAACAATCGTGCTCTGAGTCAGGACCTTCCTATTTTATTATATAAATAATATTGTTTGCACCTTGTTTACTAACCTAATTTACAAACATAATTCATCAAAATGATAGAGAGAGTGAGAGAGAGAGAGAACACAGACAACCAACAACAGAATGATTCCAGCAACGTTGTAATATCCTTTACTATCTCCTCATCGAAGTCGCAAAATGGTAACATTTTATAAACATGTGAGACATCCTTCTGTAACACGAAACAAACTTGCCCATGTTTACCATCTAATGGCCCAGACGCCAATAACGGAATCTATGCAGTACAACACCATAAAATAAGAGTTCATGGAGGGTTAGATATATGTCTTCTTTTACCACCCATTGAAGAGAAGCTGTTTCTATGACTTAAACCATGACACCCAGGTCACTCGACCTTGTACTGTGGTCTCCAGTTATAGTGCTCCCACATTGACAGATTTTGGCCATAGAGCAACGTGCTGAACAGCACCTTGAGAGAGCAGCAGATAATCAACAAGAGCAAACTGACAGTAGAATTGTTTCAGACGCTTTGATTCGCACATTTTATTACCCACCTAGATACTAGAGGGTTCACTTTCTTGTGTTAGAATTTGACTTCTTGGTATTGATTTCTTATGACCTTTTTGCAATTGGATGCACTCCAAATCGGCCACCAAATAACAGAGCAACCATTCCCCATGAAGCAAATCCTAGAAACCAATACAAGAGGACGGGGCGGGAGCCGGAAAATTGTGTTAGGGTGGACACGAATATTTTAATAAATTATTATTTTTTTCTTACAATTAATAAAAATAGGACAATAATTTATTTAATTACATCTTATTTAATACTTAAAAGTTCATTAAACCGATCATACCAAAATTTGATAAACCTAATATATACAAACGATAACATTTTTTTTTCAAAATATTAACTAATTAAAATAATTTAGAATTGACTTTAGTAAATTTTTGTACTTTGAAAATGTGAGATCCCGTATTTCATATAAATATAAATGATATTAACTTGATAATATTTTTAAAATGATGAAAGAAATTTCGAATTGTTGTTAAATGAATAGTTGCATAAGTTTGAGCTACATGCGTATTGACTTTTAAATCAAATTTAATTTTTGAGCTATTTAAGGTTGATAAGAATAATCAAGTAAATTTATTAAGTTTGTTTATGTCAAAATAACATTACCATTGAATCTGGGACTAGACATTTAGCTCTTATAGTGGTTCAAAGGGGTAAAAATTAAAAATATGGCATTTTTGGTATAATTTGGCTTGGATTTGTACAGAACTCATAAAAATAAATGTTTTTAACCTAAAATAACAATAAATATGGATCTGAAACGTAAAAAAACCTTAGGGTAGTTATATGGATCAAATTGGAGAAGTTTTGGGGCAAAATCATAATTTTGGAGAAAATACATTTTTTGGGTCCTATGAACAGTATCCCGCGCGAATTTCAGCCCTTATAACCTCATTTTCACCTTCATTTCTCTCATTTTTCTCACACCTCTCACCCAATACTACTCCATAAACCTTAGAATTAGAGAGAGAAAGAAAGAGGAAGAGTGAGGAAGGTGCTTGGGCTTTTGCTTAAAAACTTAGGATGAGATTCTTGAATTCACTTGAAGATTTGAAGGTGGAGCTTGGGTTATTGAGTTTTGAGGTAGGGTTTTCCTTTCTTTTGCATATACATTGATGCATGTCATTATGTTTTATATCTATTTGTTTAATATGAACTAAATACATGTTATGGGTCTTAATGAAATGATGAGTTTACTATAGATTTGAAAACCTACATGCATTAAATGAATTTGGATATTATGGGTTTGAAACTCTAACTTGATTTTTTGTTATGGGTGTTTGATTGAACTTTAAATTTTGGATTCTTTAGAATATATGTGATTTTTTATATAATGTATTTGATTTGTCTCTTAAAAATGAGTATGTTACTTTGTAAATGTGTATTTGAAAACTTTATGTCTATCATGTGTTTGATAAAATGTCAAAGTGACTATAAGTATTGAAATGATAAATTGTGGAAAGAGATATTAATTTGTATGATATGATTGAGTATATTTTATAATGATTTTGGGTATTGTTGAGTTATTTTAAAGTATGGAAAGGGTGGTGTTGATGTATATAACTTCTCAATCGTTTAATTTACAAATTTTGCTATAAAAGGGTACAAATTGTATTTTTTTGGAGGTGTGTGAATTATTTTGAAAATGTGTTATGTTAGAAATGGAAATGTGAGATTTTGTAAAACTATGTAATTTTTTTTTAAGTGTCAAAGTAGTGGTTGGTGTTGGGAATGGAAGGTGATCATGAAATTATGATTCAAAACTTGTATGCTCGGTACTGACAGGCAGAAAGTTAGTAGACGATTGGGGCCTTTGAGGAGGGTTACCAAGGCAGCTACTAGTCCTAGGAGGGATTGGTGATAGTAGTAGTTTTCGGTGACAAGCTGTGTGGCATCACAAGTTGTGCCCTACACATCCCTCCTAAAAAGCAAGAATGGCGATGAGATCCTAGGGTGCAAGACCCAAAAGGTTTCCTAGGAATGGTTCATTCGTGAACTGGTGTTGGTTTGATGATTTTTGTCCGTATGGGTAGCATACATGAATTTTGGGTGCTAATAAACCAATAGCCAATATTCCAACAAATCTCTTGAGTGGGGTAAGGTAAGGTGAGGTTGAGACAAAAGTACATGGAGTTAATATTTTTGAAAAATACCTTAGAAAGAATAAGTTTATGGAATTACGTTCAAAATAAGAAATGATTATTTTACTAGATTTATTATACATATATTTGTATAAAGATTTCTCACTTCGTACTTTATAAAATCAATGGTGTTTCATTATGTTTTAAGAAGAAATATTTTATAGAGTTACCTTGAGATTTGATTTTAATGTGGTAAATTCTTTAATGTTTCACTTATGTATTTCAAATGATAGTACGTAGTGTACTTTCAAAAATGCTTACTACTTATCGTGTACCTAGATTTATTGATAAATTATTTCATTACCTATCATTATAATTGTGAACTGTTGGTATTTCAAATCTTGTATATGCTTGAGAAAAGGATTATCCTACTAAGTGTGTGATCGCTCACCCCTATCATTTAACATTTTCAGTTATGGGCATATATTGTTGGAGTGCATAACGAGAGTATCGAGGCAGAAAATAATTGTTATGACTTGATAATGTACGATGATGTATATTATTGAGGATTTGTAAGTGGTTTATATATTGGTTAATTTGAATAAAGATTTTAGATATTTTAAATATTATGTCCATGACAAAGAATTTTGAATAATTAGATTATAACTCAGATTTGGGAGGACTTCATGGACCTCCATTTGCCACCCCGATATTGAACGATAGTAACTTATTTTGTGGATATTATGAAAAAGGATGTAGATGATTGATATGATGCGAATGACTAATTAGATATAATTATTATGTTTAATGCTCTCACCAATTTTCTGGATGCCCGATTTTCAAAAGAAACTCTACCAAATTTTTTTAAAAAAAATAATTTATTTAAACTAAAGACATATTTTTCTAGATGTTTTTACAACAAATCGACATTTATTTTTGGAATAAACAAAGTATTTTTTTTTAATCACGCTTTTGTGAAATCTGGGACTTGACAGAAAACGTTGCATAACAACTTTATTTTTTTTTACATATATAATCATGTTATCACTTTGATATTTATAAATCATTTGATTGATTATACAGTTCAATGTACACTCTACAATTTTTACTATAATTAATAAAAATAAATGTCAAAATCACAAGTAAACTACCAAATATATATATATCATGTCTTTTTTAGTCTTAAAAAATATAAAATAATTTTAATATATTCAAAATTTATCTAGATAGGTACATAACCCGCACAAAATATGTTAAAAAATTCTTATTCATTTGATTTAAATATATACTAATTGATGTGCAAAAAAAGGTTTGGAGAACATAATTAAAATTATTCATTTGATATAAGTGTACATTAATATTTTTGTCTTTGATTTCGAGTGGGCACAAATAATACATTATACAAATATACAATATACATACTAAGCAATAAAAATAAAAAGATTTTTGACCGGGGGGGCACTTGCCTCCGCCCTTGAAGGAGACTTCTCCCATATCTAATCTATTCATAATAATGTCAGTCACTTTGCAATTTAATCAGACAGACATCCATGCTTGCGTGTTCATGCCAAAGTACAATCAAAATCTATGTTTTCTTTCCTTTCATAAATTTCCAAATTTTTTTCTTTTTCTTCCACCTTAATACTGCCAGTTTCTCACATTTCCACTTTCTGTACTTTTGTCGCTCCTTTAACCAGCAAAAATAATCCTTCCCCTTCTTGCACTTAATGAAATCAGCTAAATCATCAAAGTCAGATAATTCCTTGGGATTTTCCAGTATGCACTTGAGGAAAATCTCCCCATTGCATGCTTCCTCCGTTTCCTCTTCTATGCCAGTATCACATTCCATGTTACAAGGAACCAAGGCACTCATCAAAGTTTCTGCTTGCCCATCTTCAATTCCTGTGCAGTCTCTTGCAAGAGGAGTCGTACTGCAAAAACAGAATAATAAATAAATTATGCAAAAGCTGTGACATGCTCATAACAGTTTGGTCTCAAATGAAAATTCAGAAAGCTGTCCCTGCTTTAAAAATTTGTCTGGACTCTCCTAGGCAAGTCAATAACACTGCTTCACACCACCACGAAACTCACTCTCTTTTTGTTCTAATAGAAAATTCAGAGCAAGAGGTACGGTTGTGTGCCAGTAACATCAAACATCAGTATCATGCATAGCAAGCCAAGTTCCCAGAGCACAAAGCAGACAAAAATTAACAAGTGATTATAAAAAAAATGTAAAATCTGTTTCCAACAAATCATATATTGTCTCAAACCCCAAAAAACTATGACAATCGTGTTTAGATATAGCTGTGTACATCGTCGCATATATGTGCAACAACTAGAAGGATTGCAATAAATGCATGCATTGGACATTGGCCAACTTTCAATGTATGCGATACGACATTTTCTTCAATACCCATTGCGATGGGGGTACGCTTAGTTGGTACACTTTTTTGGAACAGTTCTCCCTCGACTCTTATCTAATCATGCTCATTATTATGAAAAACTTTGTATAATGATACAGACTATACACAGTTATTATTTATCTTATACTTGTGATAGTTTTCATTGTATATCGATGTATATACTAATTAATATTTTGTATTTTAGTAGAAGACTTTTAAAACGAATGGAACTACCACTTACCAGCTTAGAAACAAATTTTAAAACAAATGTTTGTTAACACATGAATGCATATGATAGTTTTAATATTTTTGTGTGTGTGTGTGTGTGTGTGTTGGGGGGAAGGGGGGGGGTGTTGACAAGTACAAAAATGATATGTGAAGTGGAATGATATATATGCCTGTCATGTTCTCAGATTGTAGCACTCTGGCAATTATGTAATAGTAATTGATACAGCATGCAAATTTCAGATCTAGCCAACTGCAACCTGAAGTTTCATTGCAAATAAACCACTCTTTCTTTTCCCAAATGACACGAGATTACAAAATACCAATCACTACTGGACTTGCTTTCTTGGTGACAATACTAAACATTTAAAAGCAATGACATCATATTAAAATCTACCATGTATTAGCCAGTAGACCAAGCAAAACACACTGAATTGTCAAGCCCAAACAAGGCAATGAAATGCTAAGTAAACCTAAGTTCATTATGCAGAAAACTTAAGAAGAGAATCATATGTAAAATTTCAGCAAAGGTGTCAATAGCCAACAATTTCCTAAATTTTATGCAAAAAGATCTTACACAACAGAATCAAATAACTGAAGAAGTACATGCTCAATTAGTTAGCAAAGATCTAGGTTACTGCGTATAGATCATACCTCAAGTATAGAGTTCGTATTTTTTGGAATTTTGATGCAACCATTAAGCTTGATTTTTGATACACCACAGCCTGCATCAGTAATCAGCAGGTTAAACACAAGATACTTTGCAAAACGAAATTATAAAACAGGCAGACGGAGGGGGAGTTCACCTCCTGAACATCAACAACTGGTAATCCAGTTGAAAAGTATCGAGAAGTTGAATCAATCAATGGTCTCAGTGAATCCAAATTACCCTCTTCAAAAACAAATAAATTCAATACTTCCATCAGAGTCAATATGCAGCCCTTCACTACGGAATCATGCCTACTCATAAAGCTTGATGATAGCAAACCTGAAAAGTGAAAAAGCATCATCCTGGACCTCTGATGCATCATTGGGTGAGTTTCCATTATGTCAAATAAAAATTTTTGGATTGGTAAAGATATAGAGTCTCTGAAACAGCTGATGATAGCCGCAATGCCATCATATTCCCCACATGAAGACCAGTTTTTTGCTGTTTTTAAACCACCAGAGTCGCCCCTGTTTCTCATACACCAAATAGCTTGTGACATTGAACTGCTCATTAGCTTTAGTATAGATGCAAGAAGACATAAATCTTGCCCCCTTGTATCCCTATTCGCATGTAGTGCGAGATCATTAACATCACTAGAAGCTCTCCATACTATGCAACTCAAGATAGATACAATCTCATCTCTGCATGATATGTCAAGAATAGATTGATTCTCCTTAATGAATGCAATATAGGAAGTTACCAGGTCAGATTTCTTTCTAAAGAACCTGCTGCATAGATGTGAATCCAAGGAATCGTCTAACTTGGTGATTAGAAAATTAATTTTCTTTCTTGTGACTGGCTGAATGTAATATTCAAAACATGGCCGAAAGGTCTCCCCATGTATAGCTGATTTGACAAAAGCACCACTAGCACCTGTAGGATGGCCATCCATTTGTAAGTTAGGCATGTGTTTGGTGTACAATACCACTGACTTTTCAAAAGCTGATAGGTAGTAATCCATAAGTCTCAGATCTGGTTTCAAATTTTCTGAAACCTTGACAATACCGGTGGCTTCAGAAACCAGTGAAATTAGGTGTGCCTGCAGAGCTTTTGGTGCAGAAAGTAAGATGGGATTGAAAAGAAATGATATGGCTGCAGTCAGACTTATTTCCCGAGCTCTGAAATCCCTTTCATGCAGGCAAAATAATTTGTTGAAAAAGTTATCAACTGCTTGCCCATCCGAAAATGATAGGGTAAAATGAGTAGAGATTATCTCCACCAAAATTCCAACATCACCATAATTGCAGTGATGGATAAACAGTGAGTCATTAGGAGAACAAAAAGAATCAATGAGCTTGAAGTATGCTCGTAATTGACCATCCACCAAAAGCTCATCCACAAACACCTGAGACAAAATCCCCACATTAATCATGCAAATATGCAGCAAAATGCTTATAGAAGTATCTGACTAAACAAGAAATCAGGAAGAGAGAGAGAGAGAGAGAGAGAGAGAGAGAGAAATATATCTAAAAACTGTGACAGAACAGTATGCAAAGATAAACAAAATTGATGGTTAATTAGAAAAAGGAAGAAAAAATAGTGAACATATACATACATCTACTTTAACCAAGTTTAAAAAGAAAGAGAAACGATACAAATTTCAGCCAAAGGAACCCACCATCAGGTGTAATTGCACTACTAAGCAGACCTGGTTTCTTAAAGGTTGGAAGTACTCAAACTTTTCATTCAAGGGAAGTTTTAATATTTCATGTTATTTAGGTCCCAAAAAATTTCTTTTTTACTGCCCCAAAATCATAACAGAGATTAATCATCAAAACATCAGAAATTAACAAACATGAAGTCCAGAATCCTTGAAGAAATCCAATAAAGCTTTTGTTGCAAAAAAATTAAGTCTTCTCATCTCTAAACCATGAGAAAAACAAGTGAAAGCAACTACAAAAATTGCAGTAACAATTGACACAGGTTTACATGATAGGAACTTCCAGCAAAAGTAATACAGGATATTTTGGATCTAGATATTATCTAGTAAGTATAATATATACTTGCCATGCACTTTATGGAGTAGTGGATTCTGAATTTACTGCATTATATGACCTCATATACTTTCTTCAAAAAAACTAAAAAATGTCAAGAACACATAAATCCAATTCACGAGAGCGCAGATAAGTTGCAGGAAGCCAAAATTCGATAACAAAACAAGAAGCAAACAACACCTAGTTCTTCATATCAATTGTCAAGAATGTAGGGCCGGATAAGAAACTATAGAAGAGGTCATCCCTTACTCCATTCCTTCGGAATGGCGGGATGGTTGACAACAACAACGAACGTTCACTCTCTTTGGGGTCTTGGTGTCAAAGAAGGCTCATAGCGCATGTGCATGGATTAGGATTATCGTACCCTTAATAAAATCACAGTAAAGAATCGCTATCCTTTACCAAGGATAGATGTCTGATTCCCATTTGATTAGTCGAGGGTGAGCGCTCACTCTTTGGGGCCCACCTCATTTTTGTTGTAAAATCTAACTTTTCGGAAATCATAAATAAAGGAAAGTGGGAGTACAGTTTTTTTTAAGACCTCTCCATTCTCAATTATTCTAATCATTGAATTAGGTAGGACACGATTTTAAACCATCTCGAGCTAGTGTTACTTCTCCTTCTCAATGGAGTATTAATTCTAAGATGTGAAGTTTTAATTGTCATGGTTTTGGTCATCTATATTTTCGATGCCCAACAATATATGTTGTTGTAGTTGAAAAAGAAAATCCCCAAGTGAATAAAGAACCTTGTGAGCCAGAATTGAAAACAGAGATTGTTGAACCTCTTAATTTGAGTGAGGTTAATTTTATTGATTTAGATGATGACTTGGGTGTTATCTGTCCTCTATTTTTTCCTCGTAAGGAAGTTGCTAGTGGCAAGCTTATTCATAGAGGGAAAATCTTTCAAAATAGAGTTAATTATGAAGGACATGTCGTGACTGACACGAGAAGTTGAACAAATGTGGTATCACATGAAGTGAAGAAATTGAATTTGAAAGTGGAACCACATTCATAACCATATCATATAACATGGATTACTAATACCAAGCTGAAAGCTAAAAAAATATGTTCATGTATATTCATCAATGAAAGCCTTTAGGAGACAATCATGTGTGATACGTTGCCTCTCAAACTTTGTCCCATACTTTTAGGGCGCACCTGGATTTGAAATCGTGATACACAACTTACGGGACGTGCCAATGCAGATGCAAGTAAAATACAACTGAAAAAGAGATTTTTATTGATTCAAAAGCTTCTCCATTAGATGGTATTCTTGGACCTCCTCCTTGGAAGCTTAGGCGAAGGACTAAAATTTTTTGGTCCAAAGGAAAGTGTAATTGGTAGTTTATTAGGATTAGTCTTACTATCTGTTAAGAATAATAGGGTAGTATGTGTAAATTATTAATAGTAAGAGGGTGTATGTATAATTCTTATTATTGTGAGTTAACTATAAATACAAGTGATGTATGAGAGTTAGGTTAAGTTTTTAACCTCTCTGTTTCTCCCTAAATATTGTCTCTAATATTATATTAATCTTCCAAACTTAACATGTTATCAGAGCATTACAAACATAAATATATATTCTGAATAAATTAATTTTTGTTCATTGGTACTAATGTGGTGGTGTTTGTCGATTGCTTGTGGTGGTGGTGGTACTGTTGTGGACTGGTGTGTTCGTGTTTGTTGCTCGGTGCAGTGGGTACTATTGTAGTGGTTTTGCCGTTGTCTATCGTTGCTTGTCGTGGTGGTGAGGTGCAGTCAAAGGGCAGTCATCGTCGATTGTCGCTTGTTGTAGTGGTGAGGCGCAGTCGAAGAGAGGCATCTGGAACCCTAATTAGCAAAGAAGACAGAGTCAAGACCACTTTGGGTCAACCCAGTCCAACTCCAACCCTCTTTGGGTCCAGCTCACCAGCCTAGACCAAATCAAGACTGGTTTGGTCCTGGTTCATCCTAGACCAGATCCATTCCGGTTTAGTCCTGGTTCAGCCTAGTTTCTATGGTTTAGACCGGGTCTGACAATTTTTACTCCAGTTTAGTGGTTCAAGAAGTCAAACTGGTCCGGTTCAGTGATCCAGCAAGTCAAACCGGGCCGGTTCAAGGGTCCAGAGGGCTCAGACTGTCCGGTTCAGCAATCCAACTCCCTTTTCAGTCCCGGTTCAGGGGTCTAAAGGGCTCAAACTATCCGGTTCAGCAATCCAACTCCCTTTTCAGTCCCAATTCAGTGGTCCAGCGGCCTTAGATTGTTCGATTCATCAGGCCAACACCCTCAGGCTGTCCGGTTCAACCCTCTAGTATCCGTTTTTCTTCTGGTTCAGTAATGTAGTAGGTAATTCTTGTCCGGATCAGTGATCTAATGATTTTCTTTTTCTATTTGCTACACTTATGGAACTCAAGCAAGATACTGGGTTGGTTACTATTACATGAGAGGAGGATGCTTAGTTCCTATCCCAACAACAGGCTGTCCTATCTCCCTCAACTACTATTTTTGCCCAATCAAGTATTGCTTTCACTAGTTTATTGTCCTTCACTCGTAGTCCCAAGATCATAGACTCTGGCACTTCTAACCACATGACTGGTGCGTNTTGGTTCATCCTAGACCAGATCCATTCCGGTTTAGTCCTGGTTCAGCCTAGTTTCTATGGTTTAGACCGGGTCTGACAATTTTTACTCCAGTTTAGTGGTTCAAGAAGTCAAACTGGTCCGGTTCAGTGATCCAGCAAGTCAAACCGGGCCGGTTCAAGGGTCCAGAGGGCTCAGACTGTCCGGTTCAGCAATCCAACTCCCTTTTCAGTCCCGGTTCAGGGGTCTAAAGGGCTCAGACTATCCGGTTCAGCAATCCAACTCCCTTTTCAGTCCCAATTCAGTGGTCCAGCGGCCTTAGATTGTTCGATTCATCAGGCCAACACCCTCAGGCTGTCCGGTTCAACCCTCTAGTATCCGTTTTTCTTCTGGTTCAGTAATGTAGTAGGTAATTCTTGTCCGGATCAGTGATCTAATGATTTTCTTTTTCTATTTGCTACACTTATGGAACTCAAGCAAGATACTGGGTTGGTTATTATTACACGAGAGGAGGATGCTTAGTTCCTATCCCAGCAACAGGCTGTCCTATCTCCCTCAACTACTATTTTTGCCCAATCAAGTATTGCTTTCACTTGTTTATTGTCCTTCACTCGTAGTCCCAAGATCATAGACTCTGGCACTTCTAACCACATGACTGGTGCGTCTGATGTATTTTTCTACTTATCAGCCAGCTACTTCCACACGTAGTGTTACTTTTGCTAATGGTACTTGTTCTAAAATTTTAGGTCTGGGGACTACTCACTTGAGTCTTGATATGTCCCTATCTTCCATGTTATTTGTTCTTCGATTTCCTTTTTGTTTACTTTCCACTAGTAAGATGACCCGTTCTCTTAATTGTTCCGCAACATTTTATCCTTCTTATTGTGTCTTTCAGGATCTCAAAACGAAGAGGAAGACTGGTACGAGACATGAAACTGATGGCCTATATTACCTTGACTTTCATTCACCTACCAAGACTCTACAAACCCCGTTGTCTCCTTTTCAATAACATTGTCGTCTTGGACATCCCTCTCTCGAGAATCTGAAGCGTCAAAATCTCAGCCTTAGCTATGTGTCGTTTGTCTTGTGAAGCTTGTCAACTTAGTAAGCATCACCTTGTGTCTTTTCAATCTAGAGTCAATAATCGTGTGTCTACTTCATTTGAGTTAGTACATTCTGATGTATGGGATCCCATAAAGAATATTTCATCTAATAAATATCCTTATTTTATAACATTTGTGGATGATTACTCGGTCTAAATTATTCTCTATATTTAAGACCTTTCGTAAGGAAATAAAAACTCAGTATAGTTGTCGTATACGTATTTTATGTTCTGATAATGCTCGAAAATAAAAATTTAATCCTTCTTCAGCTTATTATAGTAAAANAAATTATTCTCTATATTTAAGACCTTTCGTAAGGAAATAAAAACTCAGTATAGTTGTCGTATACGTATTTTACGTTCTGATAATGCTCGAAAATAAAAATTTAATCCTTCTTCAGCTTATTATAGTAAAACTGACATTATTCATCAAACTTCTTGTGCTTACACCTCTCCATAGAATGGCGTTGCTAAACGCAAGAACAATCATTTGTTGGAAGTCACTCATGTCTTGTTATTTCAGATAAATATTCTCCGATATTTTTAGAGTGATTCTGTTCTTACTGCTTGTCACCTTATTAATCGTATGTCATCCTTTGTGTTAAATGGGCAAAGCCCATATTCTGTTCTATTTTCTAGTAAGCCCTTATTTTTTCTGACTCCTAAGGCTTTTGGATGTGTCTATTATATTCACAGTCTCGGTCCTGGGTTCCAC